GGGATCTTGATCAGATGGGCCAATGGGCCAAGGAGTGGCAGATGGAATTTAGTTTAGATAAATGTGAGATGCTGCATTTAAGAAAGGCAAATCAGTATATTAATAATACACTTATTAATAAGGTCCTGAAGAATGTTGCTGAACAAAGAGACCTTGGAGTGCAGATTCATTGTTCCTTGAAAGTGGAGTCCAAGGTAGATAGGATAGTGAAGAAGGCGTTTGGTGTGCTTGCCTTTATTGGTCAGTGCATTGAGTATTGGAGTTGGGAGGACATGTTGCATCTATACAGGACATTGGTTCAGCCTTTTTTGGAGTATTGTGTGCAATTCTGGTTTCCCTCCTATAGGAAGGATGTTGTGAAACTTGAAAGGATTCAGAAAAGATTTATGTGGATGTTACCAGGGTTGGAGGGTTTGAGCTATTAGGGCGAGGCTATTTTCCCTGGAGTGTCGGAGGCTGAGGGGTGACCTTATCGAAGTTTATAAAATGATGAGGGGCATGGATAGGGTAAATAGGATTGGTCTTTTCCACAGGTGGGGGTGTCCAAAACTAGAGGGCATAGGTTTAAGGTGAGAGGGGAAAGATTAAAAAGGGACCCAAGGGGCAATGTTTTAGTGCAGAGGGTGGTGCATGTTTGGAATGAGCTGGCAGGGGAAGTGGTGGAGACTGGTACAATTACAACATTTAAAAGGCATCTGGATGGGTATATGAATAGGAAGGGTTTAGAGGGATATGGGCCAAATGCTGGCAAATGGGACTAGATTTATACAGGATATCTGGTCAGCATGTTGGACCGAAGGGTCTGTTTCCATGCTGTATATCTCTATGACTATATATAAAATTTGACTTGAACCAACATAATTGGGCAGCATTTTAAAAAGTAACATTTTTCAAGAATTTTTGCTTTTGATAATTTTCCCTGATATATTTCAGAGTGATTTGGTGGCACTAAACTTGATTATTGCTGGAAAAACAATATTTTGTCAAAGTTTCATTCGGCACTAATCAGGACAGTCACAAGAAATACCAGTGTAAAGGGGAACAAGATTTTGTCCTGTATGAGAAGAGCATGCTGCTTTGTGGGCAAGTGAGCTCTGATTGGTCAAGGCATTACCAAGGGGAATGCACCAACTAATAATAATTGACAGTTAACTACCAAGCTTTGATTAAATTTCAACCAGGCAGGCTGACTCTGGTTGGTCAAGACATTGCCTTACGTCATAAGCCAAAGAATAATAATCGGATAATTTAAAGTTGCACAGATGCAATGACTTCTTCCTGTCTGCAAAGAACAGGGCCTCGTGTGAATATACATATGAGTATATATAGTTTCTGATATGTGCATATGCGTCATACTGTGAGCTGACTGGCAATCTTAACTTGGCTGCCAGTGTAATTCATAGCACACTTAGGATGTCCGATGCTGTCCAATCACTGAATCTTATTTAACTTTGGACTCTTTTTTTTGGGGTTTCGCAAACACGGTCTGGTTGGGTATGGTCAGTAACTTGCCTCTTGCCAACAGTGGAAGGGACATGCTGATTAATATAATCCAATATCTTTGTGATTTATGAACTACATACCTAGCCTCACACTGGCAGTAAATCATATGTGGTAGACAGAATGGTTTTGTTAGTTTGATTACAGCCTCTTCTTAATGCCAAACACTAATTTTGCTGCTACTGCATAGTACCAGCCAACAATCCTTCTTAGCTGCACACACAAACAGATGCTCCCAAGAGTCCGCACTTGCCAATTAGCATGCCAATGCCATGCCAACACATTAACTTCTGCTATCTCCAGCCACTGCCATGCATAGACTTTGGAGGTCTGCACAGCAGCTGGAGAAGTTAGTGGGAATGTAATTAGCAGCATGAGACAGCTAGCTTCACCTGTTGGTCAAAGGTTTGAGATTCCTTACCCTTCCAAGGTGACCTGAGGTACTTTCAGAACTGAAAGTAGCAGCCTTAGGGCCGTTTAGAAGTTTTCATGATATACAGAGAAAAGTGACCAGATCACGGTAGCCATTATCCCAGAGGATGTGCCCTATTTCAGCGACAATCTTACATGGTAAACAAATGGCCCAGTCCATATTTACAAGGTTACTGATAAGGCCAATTTTATAGGGTGTGGAACTGTAGGAATCCTAATACGTGTGTTGGCCCATGAAGGTACACTTGTGTTACCGAGTAGTAAAGAAACCTCAGCATATTTCTCAATTTGCACATCATGGAAAGGCAGCTCATTTGACTGCTGCAGGGTAATTTGAATGCAGAATGGAGATGATTGAGACATGCAAAGAAATTCTTACATGCAGCTACAGCTATTCAAATATAGTAAACAAATCAAGTATAAATCAGAAATAAGCAAGGGGTAGGGGTTTAGTGTCTATCTGTTGAAGACATGTTTGTTGTGGAATCAAACAAAGGTGTTTCTGAGAACAGGGTCTTGTGGGCATCCCATGGCAACGTCATCTTTTTGGGCATAGATGGTGTTTGTAAAACTGAGCTCAACTGCTCAAACTGTTGAGTTAATAAGTTTAGTGAACTGATCCACACATTATTAAATGTAATTCTGCAATTGGACTCCAAGATGGAGGACGGGACAAAATTTTGGCTGTAAGAGCTGCTTCTTTTTTGTGGTATTTCAATGTTGGAACTGATTTCCTTGAATTCTAGGAGCAGTAATTACTGTTTTATAAATTGTTGTATTGTTTTGGAACTTTGTGGAAAAAAAGATCGAAACAATGGTCCTTTAAAAAAGGACGAAGGAAGACAAAGGTAGTGACCACGTGGTGAGAAGTGAATCAACAGAAAAAGAAACCTACACTGCCATCTGACCCAGCAGTGAACCTTCACAGCTACTGCCTCTGCTGTTTGATTTCAAGTACTTCTGGACATCTGAGTTGTCTGACAAAAATAAACAAACAGCAAAATTCACAGCTGACCTCGAAGAAACCTGTGTGGGGAGATCATAGCAGGGGAAGCAGCTAAGTAGCTTGTTTTTTTAACATTGGTTCGGCCACTTTTTGAGTATTGCGTGCAATTCTGGCCTCCCTCCTATAGGAAGGATGTTAAAATCATAGAATCCCTACAATATGGAAACAGGCCAATTTTTGGCCTAACAAGCCCACACCACCCCTCCCTGTAACTCCACATTTCTCATGGCTAATCCACCTAACTTACACATTCCCAAACACTATTGGCAATTTAGCATGGCCAGTCCGCCTGACCTGCACATCTTTAGACTGTGGGAGGAAACCGGGGCACCCAGTGGAAATCCATGCAGGCACACAGAATGTGCAAACTCCACACAGACAGTTGCCCAAGGGTGGAATTGAACCCGGGTCCCTGATGCTGTGAGGCAGCAGTGCGAACCACTGAGCCACCGTACTGCTAATGAAACTAGAAAGGGTTCAGAAAAGATTTGTAAGAATGTTGCCAGGGTTGGAGGGTTTGAGCTGTATGGAGAGGCTGAATAGGCTGAAGCTATTTCTCTGGAGTATCAGATGCTGGGGGATGACCTTATAGTGGTTTATAAAATCATAAGGGGCATGGATAGGGTAAATGGGATGGGGAGTCCAAAACTAGAGGGCATAGGTTTAAGGTGATAGGGGAAAGGGATCTAAGGGGCAACTTTTTGACACAGAGGGTGGTGCGTGTATGGAATGAGCTGCCAGAGGAAGTGGGGAAGGCTGGTTCAGTGACAACATTTAAAAGGCATTTGGATGCGTATATGAATAGAAAGGGTTCAGAGAGATTTGGGCCAAATGCTGGCAAATAGAACTAGATTTATATAGGATCCAAGTTGAACGGGAGGGTCTGCTTCCATGGTGTATATCTCTCTGACTCTATGGACAACATTCACTAAATAATCTTGAGTGTGCCACGAAGTATGCTAACAGTACTTTGAGATTGCCAATCAGATTCACAGTGAGATGCACTTGCATGTACTGCATATAATGTATAGCAAGGCCCCAGTTCTTTGCGGACAGAAAAAAAAGCGTCGGTACTGTGCCTCTTTGAACTTAACACAATAGACAACATCCATTCACTGGTTCATTCCCATGATAATGTCATATCCAGTCAGACTCAACCTTCCTGATTTAAATTTAAACAAAGCTTGGCAGTTAACATTAACTGATTATCATTAACTGTTACATTCTCCATGGAAATGCCTCTACCAATCATAGTTCATTTGCCAATCAATCAGCATTGGCTTCATTGCCCTTTATTTTGGTATTTCTTGTGAATATCCTGATGAGTGCAAGATGAAAAGCTTTGACAAAATGTGTTATTTCTGTTTCAGAAATACTCATATTTAAGAGTGTTGCCTTGTCTGATTAATACAACTGAAAATGGGTTTATCACAAATGAATAGTATTCTTAAATTACTGTCAACCACAACGTGTGGTTAACCCAATTTTAAATGACTGTAAATTACTTCAGAATTTCAGTGTGAAAGCACTCACCTCCTGGTCCGCTGAGACCTCACTTGGTGTTTAGCTGCTCTCAGTTGGGGTCAGAGTCAAAGTTAAAAGGTAATTGACCGTGAGACCCCCCAGTTAATTGTTATATTTTAGGTGCCAACCTTTCTCCCTGGCTGTGATGGCCTGCCCCCATCCATCCTCAGTTAAAACCAGTAGTGGATGTGTTGGAAGCTGATTTGGACCAAGAATTTGAGTTTTAAGACTGAATCTTACCTTTTCTTGAGTCAGAAGTCCCCCATGAGTCATAAACTTTTCAGAACAAGAGGTGAAATCTGGCTGCAGTTTCACTTGAGCCATTTATTACCTCCTCCACAACAATCTTTTATTTCTACCCTACTTTATCACTTGCATCTGTCTCATTATCATGCTTACATTGATCCTGTTTACTTTATCCTATCCTAAAATTTTCCATCTTGTTGTTTTTCTCTATCCCACACCTTCACTCTTGTACCTGGTGCTTTACTTGTTTCGCCTCAAACATCTTCCAATTCTGACAACAGGCTATCAATCTGAATTTTTAACTCTGTTCCTCTCTCTACAGAATGCCATTTGCTGAGTGTTTTGGGAATTTTGTTTTCTTATTTCAAACTTCCTGCGTTAGCAGTATTTTGACCTTATCTTAATGCCCATGCAAGTTGTATTTTTTTTAAACAAAATCCCCTTTTGCTCTCTTACAAATCATGCTTATTTTGATCCATCAGGTTGGGCTTTCACATTGACCAGGAACCAGTTGACATCTAATAGGAGTGCAACCACCAGTGAGGTAAGGAAGTAGTGAATTGTAGCAACAGTTTGTTTATAAAGCACCTGCCACATTCTCAGAAGGTCACAAGGTACCTTCCTTGATGGGGAGGGTGGTGTGTTGCTGTCCATCCGGAGAGTCCAGATTACTGCAGTAACACAAATTTCTACACACACCTTGTAGCTTGGAGCAATGGGTATTGAGGATAGCGGCTCCAATAGTCTTACCATCTTGTGACTAACCAGGAAGCTGTTCCACTCTCACTGCCTGCCATTGATTTGTATTGGAAGAATTGGCAGCATGATAGACAAATGTTTTGATCACATTATGAATGCACTTTACTTGGCCTCAGGTCTTAGGGTGGGTATTAAATCCAGATCTTCTGGCTAAGAGGCAGGGACACCACACCGCAAGACCTTGCTTTATATCTAGTGGATTACACTTTACATCTAGTCCATTGTTATTAGATTGGCAAATGAAGCCTCTAATTTGTACATAACAAGTGCATGGATACAAATGAGTAAATAATATCTGCCGTAGTAACTAATTGACTATCCTGTTAACAATCACCGTGGAATAGTGCTAGTTAGTAATTTATCTTTTCCCTAGGATAGGAAATTTCAAGACTAGGGGGTACATTTTTGAGGTGAGAGGAGAGAGATTTAAAAAAGACAGGAGGGGCAAATTTTTTACACAAGAGGGTGGTTCACATGTGGAATGAACTTCCTGAGGAAGTGGTGGATGTGAGTACAATTACAATGGTTAAAAGACTTTTGGATAGACACATGAATAGGAACGGTTTGGAGGGATATAGGCCAGGAGCAGGCAGGAGAGATTAGTTTAGTTTGGAATAATGTTTAGCATGGACTGGTTGGATGTTTCCGTGCTGCATGACTATGACTCTATAAATTATTAGTATCTTCTGTCATTGGTAAAATTGACATGTCAATCAGCCAGCTCAGGCAGGAACCTAAATTAAAGCCTCAGTTAACTTTACTGAGACGAGTTCTACAGGCTTAATTTATTCAAACTTTCTTGACAAGCGACGACAGGAAAAATTATATGGGTGAAGATTAACATTCCTGGTAAATCCACAAGACCATAAGATATAAGAGCAGAATCAGGCCATTCGGGCCATTCGCTCATGGTTGATATGTTTCTCAACCCCATTTTCCTGCCTTGTCCCCACAACCCTTAATCCCCTTACTAATCAAGACCTGATCTATCTCCGTCTTAAATACTCTCATTGAGTTGTCCTTCACAAACCTCTGTGGCCATGATCTCCACAGATTCACCACCCTCTGGCTGACAGAATTCCTCCTCATCCAGACAGACACTCGCTTGAAGGTAGCGTTGAAGTGTCTAACTCTTGCACTTTGATTTTAGAATAATAAAGCTACTCCAGTTCTGTTTTAAAATTATGCTCCTAAAATACAACCATAAAAAAAATTGTTTAGTAATAGGAATATCAAGCCTGTTATTTCCAGGAAGGGAGAGTGGCAGGACTTGAAGCTGATTGCGCAAAATAAAGCAAATCATTTGTGTCCTGCTGAATCACCTCAAAGGTCTGAGTTTTTTCTCTTTAATGGTGGTGTGAGCTCAGGGAATGGAAAGTCACAAACCAGCAAGAACAGAAGGGGAATTTCCTGCCTGCATCCACTCACCCTAGCATCCTCTTCTCTGTTAAAATGAATGACGCAAATCTGTTCTTTTCTACAGAATCATTTGGAGGAGGAAGAGATCCATTATACTGCTCTGAATCTATCTCCAACAAATCCAACACATAGTGCAGCATGTCAAATGGTGTATGCAGAAGTTTAGCAGGGAGCCCTGTTAAAAAAAAAACTCTCATCACCATCCAGCTCTATATCAAAGTGACTGAAAACAGAACACAACACAAGCATTTCACCAGTTTTGCTGCATTTAATTTTGTTCAAAGCTTTTAACATTATCTTGGCAAGAGGTTAGAACAATGCCGAGCAGATTTTCATTTACTGACTAGGAAATGTTGACATTGATAGTTGCACTGCTCAACATGAACTGGCTCATTAGGTCAAGGAAAGTTTTGGCTTTCGGACATTGGCCTGAGCTATGTGAGGCTTGGACAAACACAAGGGCTGGTCCCAGTATTCCTGGACTCGGGAGGGAGAAGGAAATCATCCAGCCATCGTTCCCACTGCTGATTGCTACCCAGGTCATTTACCAACATCAATCAGAACAAGACTTGGCTCCAACATTTGATCAGGTAGCTTTTGAGGGTCTGCTACTCTCGTGTGCAACAACATAGCCATTTGGCTAAGGCTCATCCTAGCATCATCTGATGCCCATCATATGGTGGGGTAGATGTTTTACTTGCCACCTTGGGTGTCTTCCTTGGTGGTGGCTCATCTGCAACGTCGGCCACAATTTTGGGAGCAGTAAACTGGAAATCTAACGCAGTCACTCCATCCAAGCAAGGATCAACATCTCCAGTTGTGGAGAAAAAGAAAGAATGCAGAAAAACAAACAATTGGTCTGAAAATATAAAGAAATGTTGGAACAGTGAATGTACTGTTTCATTATCATTTGAGGATGTTTGTAAAGTTAACAGCACTTAAACCAGGAATTTTTAATCTAGATCTTTTTCTAAAAGATGTTCAGAAAGATATTTTGGTTATTTACTAATTAGTTTAATATTAAAGGAGGTACAGAAGTGAAACGTCATTAGAGCTGTAGACTAGACTGTGTCATTGTGAAATAAAGAGAATCACTTTGATACTTAAGTATCTGTTCTCTGTTATGGAGATTGGAATCAATGGTTGGTTTAATTCTGTCATGGGATGTGGGTGTCGTTGGCTAGGCCCCAATTTCACGCCTAAGAGCATAAGCAATAATGACAGGAGTTGGCCATTCAGCATCTTGAGCCCACTCTGTCATTCAGTGATCTACTTCAACACCATTTTCCTGAACGTATCCCCATATCCCTTGATAACGCCCCACTATTTCAGGGAATGAGGGGGGGAAATGGGGAATTACAGACCTGTTAGCTTTACATGAGTGGTAGAGAAAAATGCCAGAATTTATTATAATGTGATTGACTCTTAACTGCCTGGCTAGCAATGTCCACAATCTGTGAATGATAAAAGAAATGAATAAAGGATGTGGTAAGCACTTGCTATTACTTTGGGTTTGACAAAATTATTAGGAGCTTTTTGAAGATGTTACAAAGTTGATAAAAGAGAGTCAACTGGCATAGCATATGTAGATTTTCAGAAGTCTTTTGGTAAAGTCCTTCACAGGAGGCTGATTAAAAATATTAAAGCACTTGGGATAGGACTTAATGTACTGGCATAGGTTAATGATTATCTAACAGACACAGGAATGGCCTGTCCTAACATTCAGTGAGATCATGGCTGATCTGTGGCTTGACTCCAAATCCTTGTCTTTAGCCATTATCCCTTAATACCTTTGTTTAACAAATGTTTACCTAAAGTTAACAACTGATCCAACATCTACTGCCATTTGTGGAAGATAGTTCCAAACATCTATCACTCTCTGTATGTAGTAGTGCTTCCTAACATCTCTCCTGAACTCTCCATCTAGTCCTAATTCTCAGAGTATGCCCCCTTGTTCTAGAATCCCAAATCATTGGAATTAGTTAATCTATCCTGTCTTCTTTTTAATATCTTGAGGACTTTAATCAGATCACCCCTTAACCTAAATTATAGAAAAAAAGGCCTAATTTCCTCATAACTTATCGCTTGAAGTTAAGGTATCATTCTTGTAAACCTACGTTGTACTCCCTCCAAAGCTAATATATCCTTCCTAAGATGTGGGCCCAGATCTGCCCATAGTGCTCCAAGTGGGGTCTAAAGTGCAGCATAACTTCTGCATCCTTGAATTCCAGTCCTGTAGATATAAAGGTAAGCATTCCATTAGCTTTCTTGCTTATTTTCTGCACCTGAGCCCCCAAGGGTTGAACATCCACAGTGTTTAACTTCATACCACCTAGAAGATACCCTGATCCATCCTTTCTCAGTCCCAAATGTATAACCTCACACTTGCTTACTTTGAACTCTATCTGCCCATTTTTGCCCATTCATTTAGCCTGTCAATATCTCTTTTAATTTTATGTATCATCTACACTGTCTTCAATGCCGCCTAACTTTGTGTCATCAATAAATGTGGATATTTGAATTGTCATTATCTAAGCCACTGATAAATGATGTGAATAATTGAGGCCCTAACACAGATCCTTGTAGGGCACCACTGCTCACATCCTGCCAATTTGAGTACCTACCCATTATCCCTACTTTCTGTCGCCTGGCACTCAACCAATTTCCCAGCCATGTCAGTAATTTACCCTCAGTTCTGTGTACTTTTACCTTTGTTAACAATCTTTCATGTGGGACTGTGTTTTGGAAGTCCAAATAAACAGTATCCAAAGACATTGCCCTGTCCATTTTTCCCCAACCTCAATTTGATGAGGTTCAATGACAGAAAACAGAGTAGGAATAAATGGGTAGTCTCACATTCTCACATTGGCAGCTTGTAACTAGTGGAGTACCATAAGGGTCAGCACTTGGGCCCAAATGTAATATTTTCAAATTTGCAGATGCTAAGTGGAAGGGCTTTTGTGGTGCAGTGGTATTGACCCTACCCTCTGGACTAAGAGGCCTGGGTTCAGGTCCCACCTGCTCTAGGGACATTAATATTGTCTCTGGACAGATATAAAGTGGCTTCAGGAGGACTTAGTGAATGGATAAGAGAATGCCAGATAGAATATCATGTGAAAAAACGTGAAGTTATCCACTTTGGTAGGAAGAACAGATTATTTTTTAAATGGGAAGAGTTTGGAAAGTGTCAGTGTACGAAGGGACCTGTACGTCCTTATCAATAAGTCAATGAGCCGGAGAAACCTATTAAGAAGGTATTTGGAATGCTTTCTATTATTGCAAGAGGATTTAAGGACAGTGTAGTGAAATTTTGCTTCAGTTGTATAGTATTGTTAGACCACACCTAGCATACTGTGTGCAGTTTTGTTCTCCTTGTCTCAAGAAAGGTGTTATTGCCATAGAACAGACTTGTTCCCAGGATAGTGGGATTATCCTATGAAGCAAGAGAGGTAAAATGGGCTTGAATTCTCTAGGGCTTCAAAGAATGAGGTGTGATGTCATTGAAACTTACAAAATACTTAAAGCGTTAGACAGGGTAGATGCAGGTAAGATATTTCCCCTGGTTGTGGAGTCTGGAACCAGAAGGTGTAATATTAAAAATAAAGGGGATGCCTCTTAAGTCTGAGATGAGGAGCCATTTTGTTCAGAGGGTTGTTAACCTTTGGAATTCTCTGGCACAGAGGGCTGTGGAAACTCCGCCTTTGAGTATGTTCAAAGTAGAGATTACTAGGGACATACAGGGTTATAGGGATAGGGTGGATAAAAGGCATTGAAGTGTTCAATTTGCTATGATCCTGTTGAATGGTTGGACAGGCTTGATGGGCTGAATGGCCCACTCCTGTTCCTATGTCTTTAGGATCTAAAAGAAATCTCAATGACTATCTGTCTTAAACACGCTCAATGACTGAGCTTCCACGGGCTTCTGTAACAGAGAATTCTGAAGATTCACCACCATCTGAATGTGAAGAAATTCTCCCCGAGCTCAGTCCTGAATGGTCTCTTATTCTGAGACTGTGTCCCCTGGATCCAGGACCACCTAGCCTGGGGGAAACATCCTTCCTTCATCCACCCTTTTGAACCCTGAAGAATTTTATGTTTGAATAAGATCATCTGTCATTCTTTAATACTCCAGAGAATTGCCTCTGAAAAGTTGGCAGTCAGTTGCTTTCTTAAACCTCTGTAGTCCATTGTTGCAGATACACCTACTGTACCCATGGGATAGGAATTCCAGAATTTAGATTCAGTCACTGTGAGCTATAGCAGTATGGTTCCAAGTGGGTATGGTCTATGATATGAAGTGGAACTTGGGGGCGGTGATGTTGCCATTGTGTCTCCTCTTTCTAGGTAGAGGTTGTGAGTTTGGAAGGTACTGTCTAAGGAGTCTGGGCAAGTTGCTGCAGTGCATCTTGTAAGTGGTACACACTGCTGCCACCGTAGTGGATGGTGTGCCAGTCAAGCACGCTACTTTGTCCTAGATGGTTTCAAGCTTCTTTGGTGTTGTTGGTCCCATCCTCAATTAGGCAAGTGGAGAGTATCCCACACACTCCTGAGTTGTGCCTTGTAGGTGATGAACAGGCTTTGTAGAATGAGCAGGTGAGTCATCGCTCCACAAAATTCTCAGCCTCTGAGGGAGTAATTTACCTCCAGCCTCTCACACATCTGACTGATTAAAGGTGGGCACTGAAAATTTATGCCATCAACTAGTCGTCCAACACAAGTAAAATGTCAGCAGTGACTAAGTACCTTCTACTGATCAATTTAATAAGCATCAGACGTGAGGTTTTCCCACAGTTGTGCTGGTGTTTTGTACACAATTAGACTGAAATTGATCAAATGAGCATGAAATATCATAAATTTTCAAGTATTTGGTTATATTTCATGCAACTTTCTGAAATTTCATGTCACCGCTTGTTAGTTTAAAAAGCATCATGGTGGGAATGATGCCTACCTGTAAAACCAGCTACATTTCCAGGACGAATCGTACATCAGTGGGAGATCCCACTAACTGTATTTGGTTTTAAAGAAGCTCTGAAATTTAATATGCTTTTGGGTGTAAGGACACTCAAGACACATGTTAAAAACTTTTCAATGTATATTTTAAAATTTGCTAGGGAACTATCCCAATGAAATTGCAAATGGATCTGTATATTTTTAAGTCTTTTTCAGTCATCAATAAACAGTTTTGTTAAACTGGATTTACAATATGCTTAGGGTTGTTTACTTTTAGTGGAGAAACCACATTTCAGTTGTACTAAACTGCAACTTATCATTCTTCAATATATCAAGGAATATTTTTAAAACATTAGTTTTGTTCAAAGAGTTACAGTTGAAATGCCAGTTTGAGAGTTTGGGATAGATTTGCATTCAGTTTTTCAAAAAATTCACTAGAGGGGCATGGGTACTGGTGGTTGGCAGTTATTGCCCATCCCTAGTTGCCCTTGAGAAGGTAGTGGTGAGCTGCCTTCTTGAACCGCTGCAGTCTATGCGCTGTATGCTGACAATGTTGTTAAGGAGGGAATTCAGGGATTTTGATCCAATGACACTGAAGGAACAAAATGCTGGAATTGAATTTGAATGAGAACTCTGAAAGCAAAAGGTTTCTCAACTCTAGTACAATATTGGATGCAAGTTGCTGATTGCACCCATAGCAGAAATTCTCTTCCTTGATTTGTTGTGGTCAGTCAACTTACGCTTTCAGCTAGCCAACTCAAAATAGTGCCTTCTGTCATAGAGCGGTCTTGCAAAAGGGTTGTTTTTGTTTAAAAAACATACTTTTTTTATCTGTCAAATTCCTTTGCAGGCTTACAGTTTCATAGAAACAGAAAATAGGAGCAGAAGTAGGCCATTTGGCCCTTTGGACCTGCTCCACCATTCAATGTGATCATGGCTGATCATCCAACTTAGTACCCTTTTCCAGATTTATCCCTATACCCTTTGATGCCTTTAGACTGAAGAACTATATCTATCTCCTTCTTGAAAACATTCAATGTTTTGGCCTCAACTGCTTTCTGTGGCAGAAAATTCCATATGCTCACCACTTTTTGGCTGAAGAAATTTCTTTTCATTTCAGACCAAGTGGCTCACCCTGTGCTATTTAACTTAGGGGTCAGTTAGCTCAGTTGTCTCAATGGCATTGCCGCAATGCAAAGTAATGCCAACAGCATGGGTTCAATTCCTGCATTGACTGAGGTTACCATGAAGGACTCTCCTGTTCAACCTCTCCCCTTGCCTGTGGCATGGTGACCCTCATGTTAATACCACCACCAGTCATGTCTCATTAATGAAAGAGCAGCCCTATAGTTCCCGTATGATTAAGGCATCTTTATCCTTAAACTGTATCCCCTGATTCTGGGAAAAAAAATACATTTTCATAAGCATGTCGTAAGCTTAGATAGTGGGGATTGTTGGTTACGTTTCCTTTACAACTTTTAAAGGCAATTGTGCTATTGCTAATGTCCCAGCTGTGCGCTTCTTAATGGTTTTGCTGAAGAGAAAACATGAACAGAAGCGTAACCAACATTTCCTTCCTTAAGCCGAATACTGCTGAGGCCTGTCACAGACAGCTCCACTGCCCACTATAACCAGTCAACGACTATATCTGAACACAAACAGAAAGGGTAGTGGAAACAGATACAGTAATGACTAAGGAAATATGACACATGAACAATGAAACAAATAGCCTTTACTTTTTTCATGGGATGTGGATGTCACTGGCAAGGCCAGCATTATTAAGGTTATTAACCTTATCTATGCCCCTCATGATTTTATAAAATTCTATAAGGTCACCCCTCAGCCTCCTACACTCTCGTGAAAGAAGTTCCAGCCTATCCAGCCTCTCCTTATAACTCAAACCCACCAGTCTAGGTAACATCTTTGTAAATCTTGTTTGTACCCTTTCCAGTTTAACAATATTTTTCCTTTAGCAGAGTGACCAGAATTGTCTGCAGTACTCCAAAAGTGGCCTTACCAATGTCTTTGTAACATTACGTTCCAACTTCTGTACTCTGTACTCTGAACAATGAAGGCAAGTGTGCCAAATGCTTTATTTACCATCCTGCATAAGATAAACGTGCACAGTGTTACAGACAATATATTAGCATGGATCGAGGATTGGCTAACTAAAAGGAAGCAAAGAGTGGGAATAAATGAGTGTTTTTCTTGTTGGCAAACTGTGACTAGTGGTGTGCCTCAGAGATCAGTGCTCGGACTGCAATTGTTTATAATTTACATGGATGATTTGGAGTTAGGGAACCACATGTAGTGTGTCAAAGTTTGTGGATGACACTAAGATGAGTGGTAGGGCAAAATATGCAGAGGACTCAGGAAGTTTGCAGAGGGATATAGATGTTTAAGTGAGAGGGTGAAGGTCTGGCATAGAATTCAATGTTGGTAAATGTGAAGTCATCCATTTTGGTAAAAATAACAGTAAAAGGGACTATTTCTTGAACGGTAAAAAATTGGAGCATGCTGCTGTGCAGATGAATCTGGGTATCCTTGTGCATGAATCGCAGAACGTTGGTTTGCAGGTACAACAGCTAATTAAGAAGGCAAATGGAATTTTGTCCTTCATTGCCAGAGGGATTGAGTTTAAAAGCAGGGAGGTTATGTTGCAGCTGTATAGGTTGCTAGTGAGGCCACACCTGGAGTACTGCATGCAGTTTTGGTCTCCTTACTTGAGAAAGGATGTACTGGCACTGGAGGGGGTGCAGAGGAGATTCACTAAGTTGATTACAGAGTTGACAGGTTGGCTTATGAGGAGAGGGTGAATAAACTGGGATTATATTCATTGGAATTTAGAAGAATAAGGGGGGAATCTTACAGAAACATATAAAATTATGAAGGGAATAGACGAGATAGAAGCAGGGAGGATGTTTCCACTGGCGGGTGAAACTAGAACAAAAGGGCATAGGCTCAAAATTAGGGGGACCAGATTTAGGATTGAATTGAGGAGCAATTTTTTCACCAAAAGGTCATGAATCTGTGGAATTCTCTGCCCAGTGAAGTAGTTGAGGCTTCCTCATTGGATGCTTTTAAAGCTAAGATAAATCATTTTTTGAATAGTAAAGGAATTAAGGGTTATGATGAGAAGGTGGATAAGTGGAACTGAGGCCATGAAAAGATCAGCTATGATCTTATTGAATGGCAGAACAGGCTCAAAGGGCCAGATGCCCTGCTCCTGCTCCTGGTTCTTATGTTCTATGTTCTGTGTTCTGTGTACCTGTAACACCACTTTCAAGGAACTTTATACTGCACCCCAGGCCTCTCTGTTCAACAGCACTCCCAGGTTCCTACCATTAATTTAAAAAATCTTCCTGGGTACCTTTGTACCTAAGATGGCACCATAAGTGACAACTTGTAAACTTTTCACTGTACTTATTTCAGTACGTTACAATAAAGCTAATTCTAATTGCCCCTCATTATTAGGCCTTGAACTGAGTGGCTTACCAAGCCATTTCAGAGGGTAGTTAACATGCAGCCACATTGCTGTGGCTCTGGAGTCTGAGTAGGCCAGAACAGGTAAGGATGGCAAATTTTCTTTCCCTGAACGGGATCAGATGGGTTTCTGACAGTAATCAATGACAGTTTTCTGGTCAGCATGAGAGAGACTAGTTATCAATTGTAGGTTTATTAATTGAAGTTGAACCCACTATCTCTAGACAATTAGGGAGCTCTGGTGTATTAATCCAATGACATTACCACTTTGCTACTGTCATCCTCCGGGTCAGTTTATGAGTATGATCTCCTTTTTAGCTGAGAGAAATTGCATGGCAAGGAAGTAACTGAGGGAGAAATGATTAAATAAAAAATTGTGATGTCCAGCTATAAAATGACAAAACAAAATTTGTAAAATACCTCATATTTATTAGAAATTTTATACTGACATTTAAAGTTTAACAATAAATACATTGCTGGTTAACCTGTAATGAGAGTGTTTTTTTTCCAGGAAGTTAGTTATCATTAAGTCAGAATGAACCATATTCATGACACATGAGCAATGTCAACCAGCACATATTACAGGATGTGAAACCTAATATAACCTGTAGATGGCATTGGGCCTCAAGTCAGAAATAGCCCATGGCACTGAATGCACTTAGTTTGCACTTAATTTTTTTTCAATCCTTGAAAGTGACAATAGCTCCATGAAATTTCACATTCATCAAGACCAAAGATTTGAATTTGAGCCTGGGTAACCAAAAGGGAATAGCTACTGACATTTCACCTCCCAATGAGTTACTCGCATTTAAATTGTGAAAATGACAAGTTCAGAACCACCTCTTTGGATGTTGCACTATCAAAATATCTGCAGATTACTGAAGGCTGTAGGGCTATGGGTGTCTACCGGCTGACAGAAGTCAGTAACCTGAATACCCAGGGAATGAGTCTCAAAATTAAACATGGAAACTTACTCCTGGTTTGGCAATGGTTCAACTTTAAAACTTATTGTAATTTTTAGATCCCTTCTAGGCCTTGTCCCTCCTTATACCTGTAACCAGCCCTTCAAACCTCCTAAATATTGGAGTCCTCAAACTCTGGCCTCTTGCACATCCCTGATTTCCATTGTTTGACCATTCTTGTCTGAGTCTTCACTTGCCTGGGCCCTAAATTCTGGAGCCCCAGAATTCTGGTAAAAGGGCGTCACTGTCCATTAATTATAGTCAATGTCCATGTAGCCTCATCAGGCCACAAAATAGGTTAATGCTGCTACAGGATGGAAGGTGATGCTTATGACCCAGCAACATTTGCTCATTGGGACAGTGCCATGGTGACAGCAATCTTCAGTGATCTGGCCCAGCATCCTTCACTGGGTCAACTATGTCCCATTTCCATGCCAGCAAATTCAACAATGTTCAACACTTTCATATTGGTTTACCTGTCACATCTGTGAGAGTGAACAAATCTAGTCAGACACACAAAATACAAGTACAAAACACACTGTGACACATTTACAGTGAATATTCGAAACATACATATTTACCCCTCAAATTGGAAGCCTACAACATAATCAGTCTTGCACTGAATTCAACAAGGATATTACTGATGACCTAAAATGTATCTCCACTGGGGAAAAAAAAAGCATTCCTTGCCCCACTGTTTGTGGATTCTAGGTGAGGAGCTTGTTATCCCAGCTGTCAAAGCCTCAGCAGTTGAATAGTCAGTCCAATATTCATTGTCTAGCCACACATCACACTTGAGCTATTTGGAATGAGAAGAAGGTCATCAGAGCCTCGGGGTTACATTTGACCATGAGACAACCATGTATGTACAGCATCATTAAAACCACCTATTTCCAATTCCATCTCTGCCTAAGCTCGCCTGCTGCTGAAACCCTCACCCATGCTTTGAAGAAACGTCTTCTCTGCTGGCCTTCAAAGTTGTAGCTTCCCCAAATGTAAAGTTGTCCAAACCTCTGCTAGCTTATCCTTACCTGCACCAAGTCCTGTTTACCCATTAAATCTATGTTTGCTTGTGTACTTTAGTTCCCAGTCAACTAATGTTTCAATTTTAAAATTCTCTTCCTTGGCCCTACTTGTGTAATCTCCCGTAATTCCACCAGCCTCTGAAATATCTGTGCCCCATCTGATTCTGGTCTCTTGAACAATGTAGGTTTTAATAACTCCATTATTGATAGTTGTGCCTACAGTTAACTCTGAAATCCCTTCCCTATGCATCATTGCTGCTCCGAACTCCATCCTCATTTTAGATACTTCTTAAAACCCATCACCATGACAAAGCTTTAAGGGACATTTTATTACATCAAAAGCCATTATATAGACACAATGTGTTGTTGGTCACTCTGTTGCTCAACCCCATTTAACTATTTGATGAGATTATGGCTGATTTGTTTCATACTCTATTTAACTGCCTTGGTCCTGTAACCCTTAAACTTACCCAATCTATCAGTCACAATTTTGAAATTGCTACAAATGAGATAGGATGGATGAACCAATCCCTGTCCTTAACCTACTCCTATGCTGGTCACAGCAAGGTTTAAGAAGAAAGGTAATATGGCCAATTATATTTAAAACAGTATGTAAACAATTCTGAGTCAGAAACAAATCAACCAGGTTCCTTCAAAAACAAATACAGGATTGGGTTATTGAAATCAAAACCTAATCAAGGAAAGATACAAACACAAAAAGATTTCATCTGCAAAAACATGTACAAATATCCTTAAAATCTAGCACACAACCTCCAAGTCTGAGATTAAAAAAATCTAAAATGTCTGCTGCATATTATCTTAAAATTAATTTGGTCAAATCCAGTTACATTCACAAAACGACACAGATTGTCCAATTATTGGCTGTAGGTGAAGTCACTTTGCCCATAAGCTGTTGGCAGTGAGATTTCTTCCAGGATTGGGTATGGCTGAATTTTTTTATCTGGAGACAGCAGTGGTAGATTTCAGGTGTTAGGGCTGCCCATGGCTGAATCAGCATAAAATAATTGGAAGTGGGTGAGTTGACAGCTTTTAGCTGAGATATCAGCTTCCATAGTCTGTTCAAAGTTAAACTATAAGCTAGAGCAATCGTAGCCTTCATAGAAGGAGTACATCGAATGTAGCAAGTTTAAGATAGTAAACAAAGGGCCTTGTGAAATGCACACGAAGGAGTCCTGTTGAATAAGAATTAAAAATGTAACTGCTGCTTGTATACAGACAGTTTGATAACGAACATGCTTGAAGAATACTGATAGAAGCCTCCATACCAGGCTGGACAAAAGTATGGTACTGATCATGGAATAGAAGGGTAGGGTCTGACCCACATCAGTTAAGATCCCCTAAGTAATCGTAGCCACAGGTTATATAAAAAATGGAGTTTTAAGTATACAGGCATTAAAGGATTTAACTGCATTCCCATGGACATTCAGCCTAAGGCAGACAGGAGAAGATTTTGCAATTAGCAGGGGAGTACTGAATCACTGACCCAGGAGCTAACACCTGGAATGTGGTTGAGTAAGATGTATTGTGAAGGCCCATGGATAAATGATAAGAAGGTCTGGTAAACATCATGAGATGACCCAAAGCTATCTTGGACTAATCCCACAGTTACATGATTAACCTGATTGGATATGTATATATCAATTAATAATATGATTGGTTTGTAACAGCCAAAGGCAGGCTAAAAATAAAAATATAAAAAGTGTAAGTTTCCCTTTGTTCAGTGGAGAAGACCCTGCACTGCCAGAGGCACTCTCCCCTCCAGTGTAAAACAATAACCTCTTTAGGTGTCGAGTAATTCATTTAGTCATTCCGTCCCCACACCAGGTTCTCCTTTAAGAACACTTGTATTGTGGCATTGAAGACCTTTCTCTTGAGAAACTCTCCACTTGTAGCGATAAGGCCTTCCATTTGGTTTTTCAGCTCACAAACTTTGTAGCGAGAGGTTTCTGAGATTGTGAAAAAGACAGAGATAGCAACGGCTGTTGCTCCAGACAAGATATCCCTCTAATTGTCTGTGTTCAAATTCAATAGATTTATTTCATGAATGAACTCAATTGCGTAAACTTTCTCTGAAATTATTAGACTCAAACATTCCAATCAAGGAGCTTGTGTCCTTTCCGAATACACTATTTTCCCTCCTTTGCCCTGCAAAGGGTTCTTTACAAAAAAATCCAAGATATAGATATGTGTTCAGTCAATTATATTCTCAATTAATATTTCAGACAACACATCTTCATACTGAAATTTTTCAAGCAGCTTTCCAGCCTCAATAGCTTATTGCAGGGGGAGAGTTCTAGATTTCCACTATATTTTTGTATGAAGAAGTATTTCCCCAGATTAGCTGTAACAGTCTAGGTCTAGTTTTTAAGAGTAAGAGCCTGTGTCCTAGACTCCACCCCCCAACCCCCATCCCTCCCCAGAGGAAATTACCTTTCTTTCTATCCTGTTAATTTCCTTCATCATCTGATCATCACAGTTTGATCAAAGAAGTACATGCTTAATCTGGGCAGTCTGTTTTCAATGCTTAACCCTATTCTCCCTAGTGTCATCCTGGTAAATACCATTGCAGCCCTTCAAAGCCAATATAGGTTTCCTGAGCACAGTGCCCAAAACGAACACATTTAATGGTTCCCATTACTGAGATTAGAGTAGTGTACTAATCACGGCATCATCAATTGTTTTAAAAATCCATTAGTTCACCTTTAGGGAGGAGAATTTGCCATTCCATCTAAGAATGGAGACCTACATGTGACTCCAGATCCACAGTAACGTGGTTGACTTTTAATTGCCCACTGAAATGACCCAGCAAACCACTCATTTCTAGTGCAACTGGGGACAGCAGCAAATGCTGTACTTGTCAGCGATGCTCACATCCTAACAAAGAATAAAGGAAAAAAATGGAGTCTAACTATGTCAGCAACATAACATCGATCCATCTGTATTCGAGCCCTCTTCAGCTGAAGGCTCATTTCAACACCTTTTTAATTTATGATCATAATTGTCAGCTCATGTTTAGCAATTTCTGTATGTGGACTCCCTCCATCTTTATGCCCTGTAGTTCCAAGCCTCTTACTGATTGTAAAATACTTCAATCTGGTACTTGTGCAGCCTGCCCAAAATTTCAGATTCAAAGTGGCGAAGAAGGAAAATAAAGTGTTGCACAATTGATAGCAAAGTATCATTCACAGGCATGGACTTCAGAGCATTTATCACCATTTCTGAGTCACTATTGACAATATGATCACTATAAGCAATCAAATGAAACATATACAAAATAATCCAAAGACGTAAAAAGAACATATTATAGCAGTTACATTTATTGCCAACAGGGTAATTCACGTTTCAGTCTCTCTCCTTTATGGTCTTCTAATTCTTTGGTAAACAGTTCAATTTCGATACTATCTTGGCCATCCAAATATGGCTTCTTTGCTGTAAAGAAAATCAACAGAACCACATACCAATCCCAGGTCACACTAATAATCCAGCTACAGACATCAAAATATTCAGAAAAATGTGATAAAGGCATTTAAGTCATCATTTGAGAATTTGGAGACAATTTTTTACCACAAGTTTGAGTTTGATTTATTGTTGTCACATGTACCAGATACAGTGAAAAGCATTGTTTTGCATGATCTACAGGCAGATCGTACCATACAAAATGCATCAGGGTAGCAGAACAGAATGCAGAATACAGTGTTACAGCCACAGAGAAGGTGCAGAGAGAGAAATCAAAATTAACATTTGAGAGGTCTGTTCAAAAGTCTTATAACAGTGGAGAAGAAGTTGTTTTTGAATCTGTTCACACGCATATTCAAACTTCTTTAACTTCTGCCTGACGGAAGAGGGTGGAAGAGAGTACAACTGGAGTGGGAAGCTTCTTTGATTATGTTGGTTGCTTTCCTGAGGCAGCAGGAAGTGTAGGTGGAGTCAATGGATGGAAGGCTAATTTATGTGATGGACTGGGCTGTGTTCATGACTCCAAAGCAAGAAAGTGGAGTAGAGGACAATCAGACCAGTCACAAACTCACTGAATGGCAGCACTTCATGGGCTGAATGGCTTACCTCTGCTCCAATATTCATGGTCCGACTTTTTAAAACAGAGGCAGATGGGTTTTGGACACAGTTCTGCAAAAGTAACTTTTTTAAAAGTGGTCATGAAGTGATTCAGAAAAGTAACTGAAATGCATGTTTTCCAAAAATGCAGGTCATTTAGTCAGTGCCGCATCAGATACCTGTGTTGTTAATTGATGATGTGTTTATACTACTGAGTTTATGATAGTCGGGAAACAAAATCAGGAGAGGCTGATGTTTTAATCTGAATCAAGTTCTGAAGAATTAGGTTACAGTTTTATGCAGGCACGACAATCAGGTCCAGAGCAGTTTTCCCAACAGCACAATGGTTTTAGTTTGTGAAGTCTCCTAGCCATGAGAGTTTGTACAGACATTTTCATAACATCAGAACTGAAAGGGGTTCTGGGCCATAAGAGCTAGAAAATAGTCTTAAAACAATTCCAACAGTACAGGGTGGAAAAAGAGACAGATAAGTAAGAAATGAAAGAGTTAAGACAGCAGAGATATTTCTCTGGGATTGAATACCTGCAAAAGATTTTACCAAGATGGTGCCATGGTAACCAACTGCAAAAATTAAATTTATATTCTATCAAGCATGGTTTTTGTCTGAGATCTGATATCAGCAGGGATCATATCAATAATAAGAGAAGAAGGATATAAGAATCGTAATGTTTGCTCACACATGCATGCTGGCTACTCTTTTTGGAATGAACTCATCCATATCTCCCATCTCTATTCCCCAGCTTCTGCCATCCATAGCCTTGCTGCCTCTACTCCTCTGCCCATAACCTTTGTCCTCACTGATCTTCAATAACTGCCCTGCTCTGAATTCTCTGACATTCATACCCTGTCCACAACTCCCTCCTGTGATCCCCCCAACTCTAGCTTTACAACAAAAAGCAAAGTTGCTGGAAAAGCTCAGCAGGTCTGGCAGCATCTGTGAAGGAAAAAACAGAGTTAACGTTTCGGGTTCTTCTCCAGCCCTACCTTCGTGGCATGCTATCTGCTTCCTGTACATCCTTCTCTATCTAGTCCATCACTGGCAGCAGAACTTTCAACATCCTTTATCTGACTCATTGGAACTTTGTCCTTAAACCTCTGCATCACGTTACTCTTCTCCCTATTTTTAAAAATCATATCAAAACCCATTTATTTGGAATCTCGGTTTCCATCTTTCCTCCTTTAATTCTCCTACTCCAACGTGAAGGATGCTTTTTTGTTTATTAAAAGCCACTTTGTAAAGACAAGTTGTTGCTGAGGTGACTTCCTGATTCAGGTATTGAAAATTAAACGTACCTTTTTCCCCAAAGTTCTTAAAGAAATATGATCCCACACTGAAAAGAGAAACAATCCATAATCTTAAATCCAACCTGGAACTGTATCAGAATGAGCTTTCAGCTTTGTAGTAACATGCCCAACAAATTCCATAAAGTACAGGGTTCAAGCCACTAGCCAGGAACTCCAGGTTCAAACGTTTGAGTCGATATCTTGACCATATTTGAATCAGTTGGATTCAATAGCATTCCAACCCAATTTCAGAATGAAAGGTAGCTCGATAGATTATATATTTAAGTTTTTAAAAGTGGTTAATCATTGGAATATATGAGGCTGCAGATGTTCTTTGACAATTGAATATAAGTTTGTTACACAAAGTAAAGAGAAGAAGCTAATCAAGCTATATATATAACATTTAGAAAGATCTTAACACAAATATCAACACAAAGGATCAACCTGTCTCCCAACACCTTTCATTGGAGACTCAATTTCAGAAAAATATCATCCCTAACCCAGCTTCTTAAAACTTTACTTAACTGAAGCAATGCCCAGAGAAATGAAGAAGAGAATGGCTGTCTCTCATTTTGTTGAATTGAAACAGGCACAATGTGATGTTATAAAAGTTTATACAATAATGAGTGGTATAGATAGGGTTAATGGTAGGTGTCTTTTCCCTAGAATGGGGGATTTCAAGACTGGAAGGCACATTTTTAAGGTGAGAGGAGAGAGATTTAAAAAAGACATGAGGGGCAAATTGTTTACACAGAGGATGGTTCACTTGTGGAATGAACTTCCTTAGGAACTGGTGGATGTGAACACAATTACAATGTTTAAAAGACATTTGGATAAATACATGAATAGGAAAGGTTTGGAGGGATATGGACCAGGAGCAGGTGGGACTAGTTCAGTTTAGGAATATGTTCAGGATGGACTGGTTGGATCGAAGGGTCTGTTTCTCTGCTGTATGACTCTATGACTCTATTTTCTTTCTGCCTGCAGACATAGGACTCTGGGAAAGCATAAATGTGGCATCCAAGCAATTGGGCTGCACTCCAAGCCTGACTAACACTTTAAATTGTTGTCATTAACTACCTGGTCTCATGGATGGTTATCGCTATCAAAGGAGCACTTATGTCATAGATTGGCAGACTCTTACACACATTGTTCTCTAAAGAACAGATTATGAAGTTACAAAAATAGTACCAACTCCTCCCAGACAATACAGAAATGAGAAAATTGGCAGTGCAGTACTGACATGGTATGCGTGGAAAGGACATAGTCCAGTTTGTACAGGTTCAAAATGTTCATGATGGATCATTAATGTTTTTCAATGTGGTTAAACTCAGTCAATAATAAGCAGGGAGAGAACATTGTTGTATTCTTTAATCCAAGATGCACAGACCAGTTGTATTTGTCTTAGTTGGTTAAACGGCTAGCGAGAGGCTGACTTGGGTCTTGCCTCCTCAGCCTGCCTCTGAGACTGGAAGGCAATAGCAAACCACAAGTCAAAACCTGCCAAGGAAACCAGCTCAGGTTGAAGTGCCAGCCAATAATGAGCCAGAGCTTTGGGCAGAATGCGTATGGAATTGGAGATGCTGAGATTAATTATCGCACAACTAATATCACCCAGACAAAAATTAGACTAACTCAGGACCCAGGGTGGGACCTTATTGATCTACATGGCTCAGCATCAATCTGTATTGTGTCGATGTTCACTGGACCATTCCCCTCAAATGAGATTTTCAGGGAGATACTTAGTTCATGCCCCACTGCAGTGTTCCAAAGTGTTTATAAATCAATATTTTAATTTTAGAAAGAATATTGTCAACATCAGAATCACGGCAAAATGGGAACACTCACCTAATATAGGATTGACAACATTTAGGGAAGCTAGCTCACATTCTCCTGCAGCCAAACCATGTCCTGAAAAAAGTACAATTTATTTTATCTTGCAGATAACATTTGAAGGAGGTTTCAGTTACAGGAAAAGCAATGTCCCCCATTCCCCAACCCCATTCAGCTGAATTTCCTAGGAGCATAACTGGACCCTGCAAATACCCAAGGCTGCGATTTTCAGAAGGCAGAACAGATAACTTTCAAGTCTTCCTCTCCGCTTTTCAATATGTCTCCCATCTGGATGACCAAGTAGCTCCTGTGAAAATCTGAGGCAAGAGCCTGGTTTCTGAACCCCACCAGCCAGAAGAAAACTGAAGCCTCAAAGGTAATGAACCCATTTGACTTAATCCCACCAAGATAATACTTAGGCTGTTTGATCAATCTTCTCCAGGAGCAGTTCTTAGCCCTCAATCTTGACATTTTGGAGAACCATTGAAATTGAAAGGATGTTGTCACACTCATAGTCTAACACCGAATGTACAGAAATAGGTATTCAGTCCAAACAGCCTACGTCATTGCTTACAATACTGTCCCATCAATGAAGGAGAACATTCAGTTTATTAACTCTTGGGCTGGCTGTTTGGCACAGTTATTCAATTAGTTCCATTCCCCTGCTATTTCCAAATGGTCCTACAAAGTCGTTCTTGTCAAGTATTTATCAAATTTGCATATGAAAGTTACTATGAGTCTGGTTCCAGCATCCTTTCAGGCAGAACCAGGTCCCAGGAAACTTACTGTGTCTAAAACAAAATCTTTATGTTGCCTCTGGTTGTTTTGTTAATTATTTAAAATCTGTGTACACAAGTTACCAACTCTTCAGTCACTGGAATTAGTTTCCTTCTAAGTATCTCCTTAAATCCATGGAATTAAAATGGACAGTGGGGACATGAATACAAAATAGGATATGGGACACAACGCTGAGTGTACTTTCAATGTGCACAATCGTGTTCTGCAGGGGTCAGTACTACACTTTTTGATTTACATTAATCAATTTACATTAATGATCACGGATATACAGACAATTTCATGTCATCTGAAATTGTTGAAAAAAAGTATTTAAAGCAGTACCACACAACAGACTTGTCAGCAAAGTTAGGGCTTATGGAATGAAAGGTACAATTGCAACTTGGATATGAAACTGGTTGAATGACAAGAAACAGAGAGTAGCAGTAAACTGCTGTTTTGCAGGCCAGAAAAAAGCTTTATAATGGATTGCCCCAGAGGTTGAATCTTCCTTTTTTTTCCCCCTTTATTCATTCACAGGATGTGTGTGTCACTGGCAAAGGCAGTATTTATTACCCATCCCTAATTACCCAGTGGGTAGGTAAGAGTCAACCACATTGCTATGGATCTGGAATCAAAGGACATTAGTGAACTAGATGGTGTTTATCCCACAATCAACACATGGTCATCATTAGATTCTTAATTCCAGATATTTATTGACTTCAAATTCCACCACCTGCCATGGCAGGATTCGAACCCAGGTCCTCAGAACGTTATCTGGTTCTCTGGGTTAACAGTCTAGCAATTATAACACTAGGCCATTGCCTCCACTGATATATATTAATTTCCCAGGCCTTGGTGTACAGTTTGTTTTGTGGCAAATGATGCAAAACTTGGAATTATTGTGAACCATGAGGAGAAAAATAGAGGGCAGACATATGGATGAAATTTAATTTAATCTAATCTCTGACAGCAGATACACTGTTGAACAGTATATGAATTAAGAAGTGAAGGGAACTTTTAAGAAAGGAACTGCAATTATCAACAGCTATTTTAATCGTCATACAGATTGGATGAATCAAACTGGCAAAGATAGTTTGGGATAAAATAGTGTATTCCAGACATTTCTTAGACTAATAGTTGGGAAGCAACAAATGAAAAGGCTACTTTAGACCTAATGAGGCAGAGTTATTCAATAATTTCATAATAAAAGATCTTTTTGATAAGAGTAATCGTAACATAATAGAATTTCACATTTCATTCAAGGCTGAGAAATGTTGATCTGAAACTAGAGTGTTGAACTTAAATCAAGGCTATTAAAAGGATATGAAGACAGGGGTAGATGGTAATCAGCAGGAGGTTTCCTTGCCTATGTTTGACCTGATGCCATGAGATTTCATCTGGTCCTGAGTCAATGTTCAGGACTCTCAGAGCTCTTCCTTCCCTTTGGTAGATCTGCCCTCCTGATGGGACAGGACATACCCAGAGATGCTAACTGCCAGAATCCATTATTAAGTAGGCTATGGAAGCCATTTTGGAATATTATAATACAATCAGGCAGCGTCAACTTGGCTTCATGAAAGGGAAATGATATTTACCTAATTTACTAGTGGTTCTTTGAGAAAGTAACAATCACTATGGATAAAAGGAATTTGGCAGATGTGGTGTATTTGAATCCAAAAGGCATTTGATAGGGTACCATATCAAACCATACTACACAATATAAGAGCTCATGGTGTAGATGGTAACATGCTAGCACAGATAAAGGATTAGTTGGTTAGTAGGAAGCAGAGTTGGGATAAATGGATAATATTCTGGTTGACAAACTGTAACTAGTGGACTGTCACAGGAATCAGTACTGGAACCTCAGCTATTTACAATCTACATCAATGACTTTGATCAAGTGACCAAATGTTTCATGCTAAATTTGCTTGTATAGATATGGGAGTGAGTTGTGAAAGAAGCATAAGGATTCCAGAGTGGGATATAAATAGGTTAAGTGACAGCACTAAAATTTGTCAGATTGAGTGTAAATTGAGGAAATGTGAAGTTGTCCACTTTGGAATGAAGAATTAGAAAAGCATTATAATGTTTAAATAGAGAGTGCAGAAATCTGTAGGACAGAAAGATGTGATTCATCTGTCAGGACAAAAAATTAACATGCAGGTACAGCAATGAATGGAGAAGGTAAATGAAATCTTGTTGTAAGGAGAATTGAGTATACGATTGAGTACAATATAGACAACGTTAGTGAGACAGCATCTGGAGTACCCAGCTGGTTCTGATATTACGCGATAGTTCCATTTTCATGTGATCTCACATTATAAGAAAATTGCGCAATAACCGCGATATTTAATGTGATAGGAACAGAATCGTGTTATAGCCAATACAGGTAGGAAAAGTTCGCATTCTACAAATAGTGTTCTATAATTCTTCAATCACATTAAAACCAATTTGCGATTGAAGTCAGTTCTGCTGTAACGTGTATTCCATCAACACAAATTGGCTATAATGTGATTGACGAGTAGGGGAATGCTATTTCTAAAATGCGAATTTGTGTTGGCTATAACACAATTCCATCGCTGCATGGAAGAGTACATGTTGACATCACATGATCGTTTCATGCGCTTTGTCATGAATACGTACAATGTTAGCGCCGAAAGAGTCTCTGCACCGGCATCATGTGATCATTTCATGGGCTTTGTCGTGAAGTGCTTTCTGTGAGAGGTACAGTACAACCTCCTCCCCCATCAAGTCATCTTGACATTTTTTCAAGGTAACGTGTTAAATTTACTTTTATTTCATTATTAGATATGAATTAAACATTTATTCAAAATGTGCTATCCTATGTATTAGGCTTTTGAGTGATTTTGAGTAGATTTTTCTGGTGGACTGCCGAACCCCACTTTTCCCATAGGCCCTGTTATTTCTATAACACAATGTTGCACAGAAACACAACTATTGCGATCTGGCAGAATCGACTATATTGTGTCCAGTTTTGGTCACTTTTCATAAAAACGCATATAATTGCATCAGAAGCAATTCAGAGAAGTTTTACTCAATTGGTTCCTGGGATGAAGGGATTATCTTATGAGGAAGGGTTAGACAGGTAGGGCCTGTATACACTGGAGTTCGGATGAATGAGAGATGATATTGTTCAAACATATCAGGTGCAGAGGGGACTTGACAGGGTGGATGGGAGACTGAAACTAGGAAACACAGATTTTTAAGAAAAGTGGTCTCTATCTTAAGCTAGAAATAAAGAGATTTTTTTTTCCCACTCAGTCATTCTTCCATGGAATTCTCTTCCCAAGAGAGCCATGGATGCTGTGTCACCAAATACTTGTATAGTGAGGTTAGATGGCTTCCTAATAGACAAGGAAACAAAGGTCACTGGGGATAGACATGAAAGTAGAGTTGAGGACACCATCAGACTAGCCCACTCCTGCTCCTAATCAGTATGTTTATAATAAAGCATACTGCATCCTGGGGTTTATCAACGGAGTCACTGAGTATAAAAGCTAGACAGTTAAACCTGTTTAAACACGAGTCTGGTTTCAATTTGAATATTGCATCCAATTCTGTGAACCATGCTTTAGGAAGGATATGAAGGCATTGGAGTGGCTGTGGAAAATGATTCCAGGCTTGAGGAACTTCTGTTGTGTAGACAGAGTGGAGAGGTTGGGACTATTCTGACTAGAAAAGAGAAGGTTGAGAGGAGATTTAATAGATGCTTTCAAAATTGTAAGCGGTCAGGTCAGAGAAACTGTACCCGTTGGTAGAAAGATTGAGAACTAGAGGACATGGGTTTGAGCTCATTGGCAAAAGAAGCAATGGATTCATGCGGAGGCACATTTTCATGCAGCAAGTGATGAGGATCAAGAGTGCACTGCCTGAACATTGCAGATTCAATCAAGGCTCTCTCATTGGAATTAGATAATTATGTGGAAAAACAAAATGTGCACAGCTACAGGGAAAGGATGGGGGAGGAGCACAAAGTGAATTACTCCTTCAGGGGCCATACAGATACATTGGGCCAAATGGCCTCCTGCAATGCAGCTGACCAAGTACCAGAATGATTTGAAAAAAATCCCATGGGTGAGACTCCTCTGGTGAGGCAGGAGGGAGAAGGGAACACTTCCATACAATGAGGACAGCAATGTTAAAAGAGATGAGACATTGCTCTTCATTTTGTCCACAATATTAACATCCAGCTTACACCGAATGTGGTTAGGCGTATCACAATTCAACCTCTTCTCTGGCCACAAATCTGCCATAAACCAACCTCAGAAAGCAACCTCCACTATACCATTCCCACACCCGCCTCACATACTTTCAGAATATAAACGTTTTGTGCTTCTACAGGTACACAGTTGCTGGGCACATCCCATTTGACACAGTTCACCAAACGTATTTATAACATGCAGGATGGAAGCCATTCAGTCCCAATCAGTCTGGAAAAACTCAGTTCATTCGAGTCAATGCAGAATTGAACCCCATTTGGCCACCTAAGTGCCAACTCAGTAAACTGAAGGAAATAAGTCACTTACCCTTCAGTGACGACTTGGGAAAATATTTCAGCAAAATGTAAATTGCCAGTAAAACCACAAAGAGTAATGTGACTAAAACCACTGGTGTAATCCATCTGTGATGTGTGTCACTGACACTGATCTTTTCACAGTCTCCTTCAGAAACATCTATCCAAATACAAAAAACGTTACTGAGACATAGACATAAAACAACATGAACCAGTTCATTTTCTTATCCATTTTTTCTGCGCTGTGTTTGGAGATATGAGTCATGCAGTGAGTAGCAAAGTAAGGTTTACACTTACAGTTCAAAATTTCTTTTAATGTGGAAGTGCTCGGTATCTACAACTCATAAACAATGGGCCAGCATTTACAGTCAAAACAACAGTGAGGCTAAGAGCACTCACCATGATTTATTATACTGTTACTTCAAGCGACTCAGGAGAAGGACACATTTATATTGCATTGTTCTGTTGGCAATATTTCAGTCCCCATGTGGTTAAGGCGATACACAACTGCCTGATCTGTCTAAAGGCACCAGGTGCCCCATCACCCATTCCAGTAATTTGCAGTATCAAGGCCACTGAGAGTTAAATGGACCACAGCAATAACCATTCACCATCCTATCTGAACAGTCATGTTCCCAATAAGCAGCAATGGAGCAGGTTCAAGTGCTAAATGGTCCACTCCTGTATCTTTGTACAGTGAATTTGATCAAAAGAAGTAGGAACAAGCTGTTCAGACCCTCAAGCCTGCTCTGCCATTCAATAAGCTCATGGCTGAATCAACATTACTCATATTCACTTTCCTGCCTTTTTCCCATAACCCTTGATTCCCTGACTGATCAAGAGTCTATCTCAGCCTTATATATACACAAGTACTCTGTCCCCACGGCTCTCTCAAAGACTCACAACCCTCTGAAAGAAGGAATTCCAACTCATCTCACTCTTAAGTTTTATTTAGAGACTATGCCCTATGGTCCGAGGCTCTCTCATGACAGGAAAATCATCTGAAGAAGGGTCTAGGCCCGAAACGTCAGCTTTCCTGCTCCTCTGATGCTGCTTGGCCTGTTGTGTTCATCCAGCTCTACACCTTGTTATCTCAGATTCTCCAGCATCTGCAGTTCCTACTATCTCTCAACATTTATCCTGTCAAGAGTCTTAAGAATCCTATATGTTTCAATGAGATCACCTCTCATTCTTCTAGACTTCAGTGAGTAGAGTCCCAACCTGTTTAGCCTTTACTCATAAGACAATCCCTCCATACCAGGGATCATCCTAGTGAACCTTCTCTGAACTGTCTCCGATGAAATTATATCTTTCCTTAAATCTGGCTCTAGAAGTTGGGCTATTGGAGTGCAATTAACTAAATCAATAGTACCTATACTTAAGTTGTCAAAATATCTCCAAATACTATTGACAATAGAAAACAGTTGAGACAAGTTACATTGTGGTGCTACATTGAGTTATGCAGGCCAGGAAAGTCCCACTGGACTGCTGAGTTACATTGACTAGGATCTCACCTGGGACCTTCCAGTTTAGTTCTACATGAACTGATCTCAGCCAGAAAAGTAGTTGATGATGTTACAATTGACCTCAATGTTTATGATCATGGGAGGGATAAAAATCAAACAGGGTTTTAGCCCCTAACCAGTATTCTAGCTTCCAATGCATATTGGATGGGTACAGGACTAGGTAATAAGTCTTGATGAGTTGAATAATATTGGAATTTACTGCAAATCTCACAGATCAGGACAGCAGGTTTGCCATTGGGTGAGGAACAGAATCTGAACTTTTCAAGGACTCGACACACAAAAAGGTGTCAGTCTATGTTTCAGATCCCCCTCCAAGGAGAAGAATGTAATGTTTAATTTTACTTACTCCAATGTAACGTTGCAGTTTTATTCTTCTGGAGCTTGGGATTGTATATAGAGCAGGTATATGTCAAGTGTGATGTAGCTTGGATCCAGAGGATGGAGGTAATGCTGTACAGTCCTTCACGAGAACAATTAATGCCATTCTTGACTGTACTGTTTTCAGGAAGGGTATTTGTGATGTCATTAGTCCAGTATACAAGTGGTTCTGGATACCCACCCCATGAGGAACAATTTAGCTTCACAAACGCCCCATGATCCTGCTCGGATTTTGCAGTCAACACCGGCTCTGTATAGTCAGCTATAATCATCAACCAAAAAGGAAAGTAATGCACAGAGGTTAGTTACAGAATTCAAGAGTCAGTTTTAAACCTTAATTGAGACATTCCTATGTCTCTTCCAATGAACAACATAGAAAGCTCTTCCACAGCTGAGATGAACACATTGAGCATCCTTATCAGCTGTTCTGGAATGAATATCTGTGCTTTGTACCTTCATCAGGGACACCAGGGAGCATTGATTATAGGTAAGAGGCAGGAGGTTAAGAGGAGTTTTCACCCACAGGGGTGGTTGGAATCTGGAACTTACTGTCTGTAACAGTGGTAGAAGCAGAAACCCTCGTAACACTTCAACAGTATTTAGATGTGCAGCTGCAATACCAAGACATACCAGGCTATGAGCCAAGTGCTGGAAAATGGGATTAGAATAGTTAGGGATAGTAGGAACTGCAAATGCTGGAGAATCTGAGATAACAAGGTGTAGAGGGTCTAGGTGAAGAAGGGTCTAGGCCCGAAATGTCAGCTTTCCTGCTCCTCTGATGCTGCTTGGTCTGCTGTGTTCATCCAGCTCTACACCTTGTTATCTTAGAATAGTTAGGTACTTGTTTTTGACCAGCACAGACTTGATGGGCCAAAGGACCTTTTTCTTGTGCCGTAGACATCTATGACTCTATCCCAGAGTTCCAAACCCAAGTGTTGAGTGTTTACGAGCTTAGCTCTAAGTATTGTGACTGATCACTTTTTTTGCATGATACATTTATTAATTCAGAACCAAGCGGATCCCAAGCAAAGAGATATTCGGCAGCTAAGTGACCCCCAATGTAGTGGTCTGGTCCACTTCATGCCTTGCACTTAACACGGGAGGCCTGACTGTTAGAAGTGACAGAAAGTGATCTGCTGAAACCAGTCGGTCGAAACTGTCGCCAGTGTAAAACGGGCAACGAAGGAGAAAGAACATAATGGAGATCAAGGGAAGAGTACTATCATCAAACCATGACTGGCACAAGTTTCTTTCTCTGAATAAAAATCATTCAGGGGAAGTGGGCACCACTGGCAAGATCTATCACTCCTAATTGCCTTTCAGAAGGAGCTGGTGAGTCCCCTTCCTGACAACACAGTGGCTTGCTTGATAATTACAAAGGTCAATCAAGACCTAATAGAAATTGACAAAATAATGAGGGGTATAGATAGGGTTAATGGTAGTTGTTTCTTCCCTAGGATGGAGGATTTCAAGATTAGGGGGCACAGCTTAAAGTGAGAGGAGAGAGATTTAGAAAAGACATGAGGTGCAATTTTTTTACACAGAAGGTGGTTCACGTGTGGAATGAACTTCCAGAGGAACTGGTGGATGTGGGTACAATTATAACATTTAAAAGACATTTGGATAAGTACATGAATAGGAAAGGTTTGGAGGGATAAGGGCCAGGAGCAGGCAGGTGGGACTAGTTCAGTTTGGGATTATGTTCGGCATGAACTGGTTGGACTGAAGGGTCTGTTTCCGAGCAGTATGACTCTATGACCAAGAGTTAACCACATTGATGTGGGTCATGAGTCACATGTAGCCCAGACTAGGTAAGAATGGAAAATTCCTTCTCTGAAAGGTATTTGTGAACCAGATGGGGTTTTAATAAGAATCCAGCAGTTTCATGGTCATCATTAATGAGCCTAACCATTTAATTTAATGTCAGACTAATTTAATCAAGTAAATTCAAATTCAGTTAAATGTGGTCTTCAGACCATGAGTCCAGTAATATGACTGGTATACTGCTGTTTACTACATGACAGCTTAACGCTAATAGAATAAATTGTAAATTAGGTCATATGCCTTTTTAGTGTTGTCTGTGGTAATGCTTTCATCTCTGAGTCATAAAGTGGTGGGTTTAAGTTCCACTGTAATATCTTGAGCACAAGACTTCAGCGCAGTACACAGGAAGTGTACTTTCCCAGAATGAAAATTAAAGGAAACAATTGTTAAGTATTACTGACTTCTATTCTGACCAAGCACATCACGGGCCAGTACTCCAATTTGCTGTTCTATGTTGCACTACCTACACTCAATACCAAAGCGTGCTGTGCAAAAAACAGCTGAGCTATTAAGGGAAAGATGCAACTATTAAATAGAACATAGAGCACATTAAGCACGTTTATTAAGGAAGTTCACTCTTATATAAAACAAAGAAAATCTCAATAGACATTTAATTCTTCCCCTCTTAAATCACAGCTAAATAAAAAAGGGAAAGCTTTACCTGCTATTTGCAAACTGACTGATACAGATAGAACCACGTCGTACCCTGTCTGCTGTTTCATCTGAACTACGCAGGTGTATTCAGCTTCATCACTCACTCGGAGGTCAGACAGGAGAAGGGAGAAGTTGCCTTGTTTGAATTCTTTTGTAAAAAGTTTGGTTCTATTGCTGTAGTCCTGGTTATTTTGTTCTTTGCCTGTGTAGAAGGCATGGACTAATTGGTCAGCCATCTGCCAGTACACACGTATCTCATCAATAGCATGAATGTTTATAGAGCTATCCACACAGGACAGAAGAGCACTTTCCCCAACAATTCCTGAGACCGTGAGGGTAGACAAGGAAACTGGGAAATAAAAATAAAGAATACATGAAAATGCTGTTGCGCAGGTGATGAAAACTGGAGAAGTAATAAACAATGAGGAGAACATTACAGGCTGATAAGCAGGAGATATTAGAAAGGATGATTATATTTAGATGAAAAGTCACCAGGATCAGACAGAATGCAGAGGGTCCTTAGGGAAGGAAAGAGAAATGAGGAGCACTGGCTATAATCTTCCTATCCTCCTTTAATATAGCTGTATCTGTGAGACAGCACGATAGCTCAGTGGTTAGCACTACTGCCTCACAGCTCTAGGAACCTGGGTTTAATTCCACCCTTGGGTGACTGTCTGTGTGGAGTTTGCACCTTCTCCCTGTATCAGCATGGGTTTCCTCCAGGTGTTCCAGTTTCCTCCCAAGGATGTGCAGGTTGGGGTGGATTGGCCATGCTAAATTGTCCAAAGTGTCCAGGGATGTATGGGCTAGGTAGATTAACCATGGTAAATGCAGGATGAGAGAGCAGGGGGTTTGTGTGGGGTGTTCTTTGGAGGGTCAGTGCAGACTCAATAGGCTGAATGGCCTCTTTCTGTACTGTAGGGATTCTACAACCCTCAGTGATACCGGAGAATTGTAAATGTTACACCCTTGAGCAAAAAAAAGTTTAACTTCATAGGAAACAGGTGCAGAAGCCTGGTCTGTCATTCAATATCATCACAGCTGATCATCCAACTGAGAACCCTGTTTCTGCCCATATCCTTTGATCCCTTTAGCCCTAAGAAAACAGAGAGAAGAAATGGATTCAGATTAAAACTGCACCCAGGCACATTTCCTACCATCTCGTAATTGATGGGGACTTTGGAGAGATTGTTTACTGGCAACCTCTACAAGGATGGTGCATATTTCAGAAGATCGAGAAAGATGAAAGTGAATCATGCCCATTGAGCATCAATGATATGTAGGCAACATGAAAGGGTATTTGAGTTGTCGCTAAGAAATGGACATTTATATTTACCTGTTCCCCAACACAAAAGCAATCCACACTCAAACAGTCCAGGTACCAGTCTGGCTCCCCTAAGACAAAGTAAAAAGAATTATTATTTCCAAAGCTTTTGAAAGGTTTATGACAGTGTATTTGTGACATTTTTCTTGACAATTTGGTGCAATAGTTTTGTCACCATTTCTCAGGGTTGAATTTCTTTTTGCACTTTCCTGTTGCAACTTCATTGGAAATGCAGCCATCAACTGACCTGAAATTCTCTTGCAATAAAGGCTAATATGTATTGTGACCAAGAAATGCCTTGTGAAAAAATGTTTCAAAGTCCTTTCACTGACATCTTTAAAAAAAAGTACAGGTATCCACAATCTGAACTGCACAGATATTAAATGCAAAGCCATCATAATACTGCGCTACTTGGTACATTAGCTACTGAAAAAGACTTAGGTGTCAGCCATGGCTCAGTTAGTAGCACTTTTGCCTCTGATCAGAAGATAATGGATTCAAGTAGAGGCGGCAAAATTACAACATTTAGGGGCATTCCAATTACAACATTTAAAAGGCACTTGATGGGTATACAAATAGGAATAGTTTAGAGAGAATTGGGCCAAATGCTGAAAAATGACACTAGGTCAGATTGGGATGTCTGGTCAGGATGAATGAGTTGGACCAAATTGTCTGTTTCTATTATGACTCTATGACTTTATAACTCTATAACTCCATTTATACAGATAAAACAGGATTTGCGCCAACCAAAGAAGTTACATTACTTGACAAAGCAGGAGAAATCTCAAGGAAATTAAAACATTTGGTTTAAAAATTAACAAGGAACAAAAGTCACAGCTCAGCTTAACTTAATGTGTGACTGCAACAATTAGTTGGTTTGTTCTGAGCAGCAGTCAAGCCACAAAATTCCTGAGAAACATCTTTTAGGATATGCTCAAACACATGCTTGATTGGCAGCTAAGTACTAGCAATTTCTTCTGTCTTAGTTATCAATTGTCTTTATCGGTTGTTCTTTCACGTTCTTTCATTGTGAGAGACCAGATAGCTTTAATAGGTGGTGAGAAAAAGAGTCAAAGAGATATACAGCACAGAAACGGACCCTTCGGTCAACCTCATCCATGCCAACTGGAAAGCCTATATAAATCTAGTCCCATTTGCCTGCATTTGGCCCATATCCTTATAAACCCTTCCTATTCATATACCCATCCAGATACCTTTTAAATGTTGTAATCGTACCACCTTCCACCACCTCCTCTAGCAGCTCATTGCATACACGTACCACGCTCTGTGTGAAAAAGTTGCCCTTTAGGTCCCTCTTATGTCTTTCCCCTCTCACCTTAAACCTATGCCCTCCAGTTTTGGACTCCCTAATGACAGGGAAATGATCTTGCCTATTTACCCTATCCATGCTCCTCATGACTTTATAGATCTCAATGAGGTCACATCTCAGCCTCCAGTCCTCCAGGAAAAATAGCCCCAGCCTATTCAGTCTTTCCCCACAGCTCAAACCCTCCAACCCTGGCAACGTCCTTCTAAATCTTTTCTGAATCCTTCCTAATTTCACAACGTCCTTCCTATAGGAGAGGGACCAGAATTGCATGCAATACTCCAAAAGTGGCCAAGCCAATGTCCTGTACAGCCTCAACATGACCTCCCAACTCCTATACTCAGTACACTGACCAATAAAGGCAAGTATACCAAACACTTTCTTCACTATCCTATCTACCTGCAAGTCCACTTTCAAGGAGGTATGAACCTGCTCTCCAAGGTCTCTTTGTTAAGCAACACTCCCCAGGACCTTACCATTAAGTGTATAAGTCCTGCCCTGATTTGCCTTTCCAAAATGCAACACCTCACATTTATCTTAATTAAATTCCATCTGCCACTTCCTGGCCCATTGGCCCATCTGATCAAGATCCCATTGTACTCTGAGGTAACCACCTTCACTGTCCACTACACCTCCAATTTTAGTGTTATCTGCAAACTTACTAACCATACCTCCTATGTTCACATCCAAATCAATTATATAAACGACAAAAAGCAGTGGACCCAGCACCAATCCTTGTTACACACTCCTGGTCACAGACCTCCAGTCTGAAAAGCAACCCTCCACCACCACCCTCTGTCCTTTGAACCAGTTCTGTATCCAAACAGTTAGTTTTCCTTGTATTCCGTGTGATCTAACCTTGTTAACCAGTCTACCATGAGGAACCTTGTCAAACACCTCACTGAAGTCCATATAGATCACATCCACTGCTCTGCCCTCATCAATCCTCTTCATTACTTCTTCAAAAAACACAATCAAGTTAGTGAGATTTCCCACTCACAAAGCCATGTTAACTATCCCTAATCAGTCTTTGCCTTTCCAAATACGTGTAAATCCTGTCCCTCAGGATTTCCTCCAATAACTTGCCCACCACCGATGTCAGGCTCACCGGTCTATAGTTCCCTGGCTTTTCCTTACCACCTTTCTTAAATAGTGGCACGTTATTAGTCAACCTCGAGTCTTCCGGCACCTCACCTGTGGCTATCAAAGCCACAAATATCACAGCAAGGGGCCCAGCAATATCTTCCCTAGCTTCCCATAGAGTTGTAGGGTGCACCTGATCAGGTCCTGGGGATTTATTCACCTTGATGCGTTTTAAGATGTTCAGCATTTCCTCCTCTGTAATATGGACATTTTTCAAGATGTCACTACTTATTCCACCACGTTCTCTATCTTCCATATCCTTCTGCACAGTAAATACTCATTTAGTATCTCCCCCATCTCCTGCAGATCCACACATAGGTGGCCTTGCTGATCTTTAAAGAGCCATTTTCTCTCCTTAGTTACCCTTTTGTCCTTAATGTATTTGTAGAATCCCTTTGGATTCTCCTTAACCCTATTTGCCAAAATTATTTCATGTTCCCTTTTTGCCCTCCTGATTTCCCTCTTAAGTATACTCCTACTGCCTTTATACTCTTCTTGGGATTCTTTGTGAAATAACTCCACAGAGGCTGGTATCTCATCACAATGTCACCCTTGATTGATACTGATGCGGCTTTCTCCTAGAGTGAACATAACCTCTGACACTCCTGTTTATATCTGTCAGCCAGGGCTCCCTGATTGGACCAAGTTAACAGCCCCAATCAGGGAACTCATATTCTATGAGGTCCACCTGGTTGATCTTGTTACAATCACTACACTTTGGAATTTTACTCATAACACAATTTAATATAGAAGTCAAAAATTTATTTTAAACTTTAGACGGATAGGAAAGTTTGACAACTAGCATGTACCGTATATACTTGTATGAAGTTAATATTTTTCGTTCAAAAGTCTTGGGATTGACTTTTACATGGATACACGGTGAAATTGAGACCACAGCCAAGTTAGCCATCATGCAATTGAACAGTGAAGCAGACTCAAAGGACTGAATGGCCCACTCCTGCTCCTAAGTCCTATTGTCCTATTTGATGCTTGAGCACCAAGGGAAATCCAAAAGAAACTGTAATGAACTGTGGGAAAGATGGTCTCAAATAATTACCATTAAGTAATTTTACACTCACAACATGTGAACATTTGTCATTGTAACCTTATCACTTCAATAATTTAAATAAATCATAACAAAATGAAAACATATAAATGTCCACAATAAATATATGTTCCTTGAAGGCTCCTTGATGAATTAATCATGACTAACAAAAGAAGTTCAAGCTTGTATTAGATCAAAGGAGGTGGCTTATAAGAATCCCTACACAGCGTAGAATCAGGCCATGTGGTCCATTGAGTCCACACTGACTCTTCAAAGGCCATCCCAGCCATACCCACCCCATCCCTATATTTTCTATGGCTAATCCACCCAACCTGCACACCCCTGGACATTGTGGGCAACTTAGCACAGCCAATCCACCTAACCTGCACATCTTTGGACTGTGGGAGGAAACAGGAGCACCCAGAGGAAATCTGCACAGACACAGGGAGAAGGTGCAAACTCCACACAGACAGTTGCCCGAGCTTGGATTTGAAACCAGGTCTCTGGCGCTGTGCGGCAGCAGTGCTAGCTACTGAGTCACTGTGACCTTGAGCATTGGGAGCAATTTAGAATCCATCAAAGGATGATCAAGAAAGTGGTAAAGACTGCAAAGAGACAATATGAATGCAAGCTAGCAAGTAATATAAGGCGGACTGTAAAATATTCTTTGGGTGTGTGAAAAGGAAAAAGTTAGGAAAGACAAAGACATCATAGGGAGATGCAAGAGAATTTATAATTGAGAATAGGGAAATGGCAGAGAAATTAATTGCGAGGAATTATGTGGATGACCAATTTAGGATTGTCTGTCTGACTCGTAGTGTGGTACACTTGCATGTACTGGGAGCAACACAGTAAAAGATAGGAGCCTGTTCGTCATGGACAGTTAAAACATATACACACACACCATACTTGTTTCAACTCAGCAAAATAGGTGACAACCTTTCAATGGTCCATTTCTCAGGATGCCCTGACCTATCTGAATCAACCGGCTTAGTTTGATATTTAAACAAAGCCTAGCTGTTAACCATCAAGCAGCATTATTGAGTGCATTCTCCATGGCAACATCTCTTAAGAATCACAGTCGATTTGCCAATCAATCAGCATCCTCCTCTCATTCGCTGAAAATATTGGTTTGCCCCTTGAATCTGTATTCTTCCAAAATGTCCTGACGAATGCAAGATGAAAAGTGTCAACAAAATGTGTCCTTTTTCAGAAATACTGAACAATTATTTTGCATCTATTTTCCTGGGGGAAGATACAGAAAATTTCCCATAAATACAAGGGAACTAAGGCCTTGTGAAAATGAGGAACTGAAAGAAATTAGTGTTAATATAGAGGTAATAATCAAAAGATTAATTGGATTAAAGGTTGATAAATACCCTGGACCATTTGAACTACATGCCACAATATTGGAAGAGGTAGTTATAGAGATAGTGGATGCATTAGTGACAATCTCTCAGAATTCTATAGACTCTGGAAGAATGGCTACAGACTGGAAAGTAGCAACTTTAACCCCATTATTTAAGGAGAGCAGAGAAATGGAAAATTACAGCCTT